CTATTATAATAATATTTTCATTCATTGTAACTTATTGATAGATAATTTCGTGTAATTGATGTCATCAACTAACTTGTGTTCATTTTGAATCTTAATCGTCTGAGATATAGTCTTCAAAATAAAGTTCAATTGCACTACGAATGGTTTTCAGGAGCGGAAAAGTTGGATTGGTTGGCACTGGTAGTGTATAGTTTTTCTCTTTTCGACCTATCCCCTTCAAATATGCAGATTCTTTGAAATTGCATGTACCAGAATAGTCATCTGTATTTAGGTTGATTATAAAACCACCAAAATTAGTCTTAGTTCCAAAAGAACACATTATCAGAGTGGTTCTAATTTGTTCAATTAACCATTTTTTGCTTTCTAATATCAATGCACGTGTATTGTTTTGATTGATTGCCTCGAACCAATCTCTGTTATACCGAGGATAAGACATGTTCCATTCAGTTTGTCTTTCATTCAGTATTCCAAATGATTGTAATTTAGCATTGTACAACGATGTAACGGTATGCTAATATCAAAACCAAAAAATCTCTGTTCGAAAACGATCTTTTTCAAATTTACATCGTTCATTGGTATTGATAACGATTTTTTTCGCATCTGTTCAGTGTTCACTAATGTTAGGTGGTAAAAAATGTTGGACACATGTGATTGATAATTATTATACTGATGATCAAGCGAATCGTAATCATAAACAGAGATATGCATAAAATCAACTTTATCTGTCGCATTACGAAATGTATCTTTGTTGATATTGTCGATTTTTCCATCATACGATGTTGTGAGCAGCAGTTTATTTGGTTTAAAGATCTTCTTAAGTTGTCTCAAAAGACATACAAATTCAACTTGTTTTCTAAAAAAAGAAGTAAAAATTACAATAAAATATATTAAAAAAGTAGAATAGGCCGATTATAATGATCAATGAATAATAACACTAAGAACGCTACTAGCGTGCAAACCTTTCGCTCAAATTCTTCCGCCAAAGCAAATTCATACCATCAAAATGGTGATCGGAAACGAAACGAAAAGCATTTTGAACAAATTTGATGTGATCAATGGATGAATTTGTAGTTGACAATAAATAATGCGTTGGATCAACACCTAAAGTAATCTATAAACATTTTACGAAGAAAACGATCAATTTTACATTTGAAATATTCTATTTTGGAAAGCGGACTTAAAAATAGTTACCTTCAAGTCAGGATATCTTTTCCGTGAATTAGTAAATTGTTTGTAATCTTTCTGCATTTGTTTTAAATATGAAATTTTTGTCCATTCCCACGGCACTATTTGTGTAATATTTATAAATAAAAATTCAATAATTTTTAAATTTTTTGATTGAATATTAACATTTCAATCAAAATATACAAACATAAAATATTTTACACGTACGCTGTGCATTCTTGTAGGACTTATCGTTGCAAATTAAGTGTGTGCACAATTTTAAATCTGCCATTGTCAAGTTGAAATCACTATTGTCCTCATCAAGCGCAGACTCCGACGGAACATTACACACTATTACTAAACCGTTCGTTTGACCTAGGATTATGTTTTAGAAAAATATTATCATATATGATCTATTATATTCACGCCAATTCAATCCGAATTCAATAGAGGTTAAATGCATTTTTTCCATTTACCGGTCTTTTTAACTTGAGCCAAAACTAAAACTGGAGAAATGACGAAAAAGCCGATCAGAAGTAAGCGCAACATTTTGTAAAAAATCGTTAGCTGGAATATATTTGGAAATTTCAACAATTTTTAAACAATTTATTAAATAAAATCTCTTTCACTTGGAATCTAAGAACGAACTGCATCAAATAATCGAACATTACTATTAATTTGAGACGAGGCAAAGTTTTTGAGCGATTACAAAAAACGATAAGAAACTATTATTTACGAAATGCACTTGTGATAGCCGAAATCAGCCATCTGATATTATTGGAAGCAGTAAAATTATCTGTGATGTACAAAGTGCAGTTTGAGTAGACTAAAAATTTGATATCAGTAGAAAAATTGTTTTTTCTTCTTGCTTTTTCGGTTTGAATCCAGCAGTATGATCACCAGTAAAACATAATTTGATTGTGTGCATTTGAATTGGTTAGATTTTGTGTGTCTGTGTGTGTGCGTGTGAGAGAGAGAGAATGAGAGAGAGAAGTATGCCAATGTCTTTATTGTCTACACCATAGTGGAGGGGGTGAGAATTTTGATTTATTAATCAGCAGTCACGCAATGATTTTTCTTCCTACGTCTTTCCCCGTACCGATTTTCATAAATTTTTTGTCCCCCTTCACCTATGGTTGGACGAAATGTACACAAGTATACCAATAATGCGTAATTCGATTAAATTGAATTGTCGAAAGATGAAACAAAATAATCATAGAAAAAATCATCATCATTAAATATGTATGCGCATGGCAATTCATAATATCACAACCATCAAGAAGTAGAGACAACCATACAGATCATTCACAGTTGATAATCAACGAAACTCAAATTAATGATTGAACAAAAATATGAACCTTTGTGTGATGAATGAATACAAACATATACAATCGTACACTGTCACGTAAAA